TTTAAGATTTTATTTATTTATTAGAGACACAGAAAGAGAGAAAGAGAGAGAGAGAGAAAGAGAGACAGGCAGAGGGAGAAGCAGGTTCCATGAAGGAAGCCCGACACGGGATTCGATCCCGCATCTCCAGGATCACACCCTGTGCTGAAGGTGGCGCTAAACCGCTGAGCCACGGGGGCTGTCCAAGAGTTATACTTTTAAATGCACATTCACACACACACATCCTCTGTAGACTATTAACCACTGAGGTACTCCCACTTAATATATGTGGCAGGGTGGGGAAGAGAGAGAGGGAGATTTTAAACGACAGTCAAAAATTAAAAAGAGAGGCATCTGGATGGCTCAGTTGGTTGAGTGTCCTACTTCTGATTTCAGTTCAGGTCATGATCTTAGAATCGTGAGATCTAGCCCTCAATTGGGCTTTGCACCCACCATGGAGTCTCCTGGAGATTCTCTCTCTTCCTCCCCATCTGCCCCTCCTGCCACTCACTCTCATGCTCTCTCTAAAATAAATAAATAAAATTTTTAAAAAGAACTCTTTGATTACCTTTGGAAGATTTCAGGAAACCAACTCAATTTAAAAACTGGCAAATAAAAGGAAATCCAGCATTTATTCTGTCTTTTCTGTATAAATTGTGTTACATGGAAACAAAAAAAAATTGATGAGAAAGTTCTTTATAGAAGTCCAAATAATAAATGAAGGAATGATAAAATCAGAATAAGACCATATTGCAATCTCTAATAAAATAGTGGATTTAAGCAATGAAAATCATTAAGTGAAAAGTTGGCAGGGAACTTTACAATGGATAGATTAGGCTGGGAATAATTGAACCTAGTGATGAATCTTCAACACAGACAGTAACTAAACATTATGTGTCTTGTGATATTATGAAAAAGAAGGTATAATAATTGATAAACTATTCTTTAAAAAAAAAATTGAACCCAAGTCTGAGCAAGACTCTGGATTTAACTACTAGCTCATAAGTAACACTATGGACAGAGAAACATGTTAAATGACACTACAAAGATGCAGTCAGCAAAATCCAAAATGTTAAAAGTTTGGAAGACAAATAATCTACTTTATTTATCAAATAAATTACAGGAGGTGGGAAAGAGGACAGAGAGAAAAGAAACTATATAAATTAAAAGAGACTTAAGAAATATATTCAATCAAATATGTGGACCCTGTTCAGATCTTAAGCAAACCTACTATATTAAAAAAAAAGTAAAACCCTTTATGAAACAATTGTAAAAAGTTTAATACTAACTGGATATTTAATTATATTAAAGAATTATTCATTTAAGTGTGATGACAGTGTTGTGGTTATAGTAAAAAAAAAAAAAAACAGAAAACATGTCCCTATGTTTTAGAAACACATGCATATGCACACATATATTTACAGATAAAATTAGTATGACATACAGGAATAGCTTCAAAATAATTTGGGAAGAAGGTGTGGGAAGCACTGGTATAAATGAAAAAAAAAAACTGGCCATGTTTTAACTTCAAACAGGGTGATTGGAGTAAAAAGGTTCATTATACTACTCTATTTTTACATAATTTTTTAAATGTTCATTTTAAAGTTTGAAAAAAAAACAATTCTTCTTCACAGAGGGTTGACCTCAAGGTATTCTTATTTAACATATTAATTATGCTCACCTACTCATGAGTCACTATTGCAAGTGTTGAGACACAGTATATTAAGAGAAAAGAATTTAAAAATTCCCTTCAAGAGAGATAAAGAGCTTCCAAGACAGGCAGGACCTGAAAGAATATGTGACCTCCAAACCAGCTCTGCAAGAAATTTTAAGGGGGACTCTTAAAACTCCCCTTTAAGAAGAAGTTCAAGTAACTCTGAACGTGAATGGACTTAATGACCCCATCAAAAGGCGCAGAGTTTCAGACTGGATAAAAAAAACAGGACCCATCTATTTGCTGTCTACAAGAGACTCATTTTAGACAGAAGGACACCTACAACCTGAAAATAAAAGGTTGGAAAACCATTTACCATTCAAATGGTTCTCAAAATATACCCTAAAAACTACAGAACACTTCTGAAAGAAATTGAGGAAGACACAAAGAGATGGAAAAATATTCCATGCTCATGGATTGGCAGAATTAATATTGTGAAAATGTCAATGTTACCCAGGGCAATTTACACGTATAATGCAATCCCTATCAAAATACCATGGACTTTCTTCAGAGACTTAGAACAAATTATCTTAAGATTTGTGTGGAATCAGAAAAGACCCCAAACAGCCAGGGGAATTTTAAAAAAAAGAAAACCATATCTGGGGGCATCACAATGCCAGATTTCAGGTTGTACTACAAAGCTGTGTTCATCAAGACAGTGTGGTACTGGCACAAAAACAGACATATAGATCAATGGAACAGAACAGAGAACCCAGAAGTGGACCCTGAACTTTATGCTCAACTAATATACGATAAAGGAGGAAAGACGATCCACTGGAAGAAAGACAGTCTCTTCAATAAATGGTGCTGGGAAAATTGGACATCCACATGCAGAAGAATGAAACTGGACCACTCTTGCACCATATACAAAGATAAACTCAAAATAGATGAAAGATCTAAATGTGAGACAAGATTCCATCAAAATCCCAGAGGAGAACTCAGGCAACACCCTTTTTGAACTTGGCCACAGTAACCGGAGAAGGACAAACAGTGTATGTTCTCATTCATTTGGGGAATATGAATAATAGCGAAAGGGAATATAAGGGAAGGGAGAAGAAATGTGTGAGAAATATCAGAAAGGGAGACAGAACATAAAGACTTCTAACTCTGGGAAATGAACTAGGGGTGGTGGAGGGGGAGGAGGGTGGGGGGTGGGGGTGAATGGGTGATGGGCACTGAGGGGTACACTTGACGGGATGAGCACTGGGTGTTATTCTGTATGTTGGTAAATTGAACACCAATAAAAATTAATTTATAAAAAAAAAAATTCCCTTCAATAAAGGAACTGACAAATGAAAGAGAATTATTAATGAAATGGAAGCATATAATTTCAGAGATTTACCAATAGCGGTTGACAAATATGAACATGAACAATAAGAAACTGGGTTATGAAGTGGGGGTTGTTGTTTGTTTTGTTTTTTTGGTAATCATCTCCCATCCTTTCTCCTTCTGATCCATACTTGCCAGCATTACCAGAGTAGTAAAAGTCAAAATAAAAATACTGTCTACTTCCTGCTTTCTACACAATCATTTTATATTTGGCAATTTTTAGTTTCCGTTTTTAGGAGACCTTAAAATCAAAATTATGACAAATGCATTCAATTATTCTCCAGCTTATTTAGCTTTCTACTACAATATAATAACAAAAAGAATTTAATTAAAGCAAAACTGAGCAAAGTAAGAAAAAAATTAAAATAGCTTGAGAACTTCCCACGTAATTCTGGATATCAAGGTCAAAAGGTCCTTCTACAAAAATGTAATAATGATAAACTACAACATTTGAAATTGGTATATTGTGCAAACCCAATAAATACTGTTCATGTCCTACGAATCAGAAAGTGTTCAATAGAAATACAAACTTCATCACATCATCTCACTGCCCATGAAGAACTTTCAGCTCAAAAAAAGCATTTTACGAAAAAAGTGAAATACACAGACCAGTTGTAACCACTTATAAAGCTCATATTCGGAGTAAATACACAGGATCCTGCTAGGGAATACAATGGCAGATGTTATTTAATGTATTTTTCTGATTCAGGGGACAAATTTTGGTGCGTGGTATCTCTGAAAATACCCAACTATGAGTCCTCTGATAACCCAGTTCAACCCTAGACTGTTATGTGTATATTCAAAAAGAAGTAGCCAACATAAAGGCCAAGCCTTTATGCAGAGGTGAGTAGACCAACATTGGGCAATACAACCTTGGGTATCTCTACCCCTCTGTCAATTGTTCTGGCAGCAACAGGAATCTCTTTCTGAATGGAAAAAATTGTTTTAAAAGAACATTAAGTACTACATCCTTAGAAAAGTGACCAGCTAAAAAAAGCAACTAAGAAAGAAAGAGGACTCACATGTTTTGCCTTCTAGAAAAATAAAAATTCTGTCTAAAATGCAAACACTCAGGTAAATGTGTTCTCTTCAGACACTAAAGCCTAATTGGGCTGCTATTTCCCACCCACAGATTTGTCCACAGGAATTCCATATTAACTTTCTTGTTCTGAACCCATAGTATCCTGTACAGTTCCATCAATCTAAGACCAGAACCTGTGAAATTAGCATGTTCCAAGTCACTTTCATACAGTTGCCTTTCTTTCTCAATTATGAAGTATCCTAAAAAGCACCCTATATCTTCTTAGCTTCACATCTAGGCCATTAACATCAATAAGTGCTAATTCAGAGGTAGGCATAATAAGCATCCATTAAATCTATTATTTTTTAGAATTTTTTCCATGTACCTTTTCAATAATTACAATTTCATTTATATTCTAACACATACCTTCACTCAGTCTAGACTCTCATTAAATCATACTTTTGAGTATGTAATACAAATACTTTATTTACATGCAGATATAATACCACACCATACAAAACATATACACTTCTCTAAAACTATGGGAAATGTTTTTCTCTATTCTTCCTAATGTACCCTCAACTGTATCCAATCCTCAGAATATCTTAAAGAAACTTGAAGAAATAAGTGAATCTAATTAAAAAAAAAAAAAAACTCAAAAGGCCACACCACAAAAGCACCAAATCCTTAATATTATTTGCTCCAAGAACTGCAGAATTTTTTTAAGTGCTATAACATAAATGTGGACTATTATAACATGAATTATGTTAATAGTTTCCTAAATTTAAATAACAGAATAGATTGCTAAAAACAATTAAATGGCAACAAAGCAATTACTTCAAATACCAAAAATATCTTTTTACTGAATGCTAGTTATTCAATTCTATCAAAACTGTCCTGCAAAGACATAAATACATGACAATAATATCTACCTGAAAAATGTTTTGAGAAACTTACCATCATTTTGGCTCTTGCCCTTCATCTCCTCCTTCCACGATAGGATGGTGTTCAGGGGAACATAGTCCCTTATGTATTCTTTGCGTCTCTCCTCTAAGGTCATCTTCAGTAAACGTTCTTGCAAAATAAAAGCAGAATCTCCATTTGTATTTAACTTTTAAGTTCAAGAATTGTTTTATAATTTAGTATTAATCATGTAAAGAAACTAAAGAAATGGCTGGGCTTGAGAAACATCAAAATGAAAATATAATATCATATTTAAATGTTAAAAAATGTCAAGTTAATACCATATTACCAGAGGGGTTGGGGGGAGGGGTGGAAATCAAAGCTTGATGAGGAAGACTCTTATGATGGTCCAAGAAATAAATGAACTCTTTCAATCAACGTCTACTAACAGTCTATGTGCCAAGTAATATGTTTATACACTGCAGGTACAAAGGTGATCCTTTACCTACCTTGAGGAGTTCACAAAACAGGAATGGATAATATACAGAATAACAGCTACATAAGTAAAATACAAAATCCTAAGACAGGTATATACAAATGCTAAGAGCACCAGAAAAACAGCCACCACAGTATTTCCTTAGTTAAAACATACCATCAACAATAAAAGTTTTAGTTTTTCAATTTAATAATATCTTTGTGAAGGTGATTAAATGCTACTTTTCAATATATATCTTGATAAAATATTTTTAAATGCATATTAGAATTAATGATGGTGGCAGTAAGTTCTTTATTAGTGCCGGTACTTCACACATATAATTTCATGGAAATAATCTTTCCAACAACTCAAAGAACATCAAAGTTCAGCAGCTGTCCAAAGCAAGAAAGCTTTCCATTAAAATCCAGTCAGATATCTCTAATAGTCAAAAAGTACAGCCTATACTATTAGCATACTACCTTCACAGGAAAAGCTCCTCAAAAGAGGTGATGTACGATGACGTACGTCTGTACATCAGCTATCATGCATTACATACTTTACCAGAGGTCTCCACAATGTAAAGACATGGACCACTGTACTCTCTCCCACTGTCTTTTAGCATACTACAAGGTGAATGGATTTAAGGATATCTAGTTTTAGGTGTATAACCCTCATAAAATAATCACTTTAAAAGATTCTTTCCAGGGACACCTGGGTGGCTCAGTGGTTGAGCATCTGCCTGCCGCTCCAGTCATGATCCCGTGGTTCCAGGATCAAGTCCCACATTGGGCTGCCTGCATGGAGACTGCTTCTCCTTCTGCCTCTGCCCGCCCCTCCCTCTCTCTCTCTCTCTCTCTCTCTCTCTCTCTCATGAATAAATTTTTTTAAAAGATTCTTTCCAGAAATAAACTGAAGTTATTAATACAAGCACAAGTGAACAGGAAATGGGATGGGGAGCCAACATTTTTCCCTGCTCCTAGGACTGGCTTTTCTTCAGCCACATTAGGAGAAATTAATAACAAAGTATTTTAATCAGATGTGATATAATCAAATCACAACACTACTACAGTACTCAAGGGTCAACACCGTACTGAATGTAAGATGCCTAAAAGGCATTCAAATTGAAATCCAAGGATCTGGAATTCAGGATTGAGGTCTAACCTAGAGATTTTGGAAATTACGACAGAAACTTCTGGTCCTAAAGGAAGTTCATAGGAATAGGTAAGGGATGTGACCAAATGTCAAAAAAACAATTAACGGAATGGACAAAAAGAGGGGAAAAATGAAATAAAACTCAGATGTCACTAGAGGCATACGGTGAATCAAAGTGCCAATGATGTAGAAACCAGAAGAGAAAAGAGTCTGAATAAGTAGTAGAGGGAGGGAGGTAGGGGGATGGGGTAACTGGATGATGGACATTAAGGAGGGCACATATGTAATGAGCCCTGGGTGTTATACAAGACTGATGAATCACTGACCTCTACCTCTGAAACTAACAATACACTATATGTTAACTAATTGAACACAGCTGTCTAGATTCTAATCCCAAACCATGCACATCTATGTGATCTTGGGTTACTTAATCTCTTTATGTCTCAGTTTCTTTCTGAGGTAGGTTATTATGCACAATTCATCGATGAGGCAATTAAGCCAGAGAGGTTAAATAACTTACCTAACTGTACTGATAGTAAGCAGTTCAAGTAGGATTCAAATCAGACAAATGTTCAAAGCTCTCGACCCTATAGTATACTACCTCACAGAACTGTTGTGAAAATTAAATGAAATAAGCTATGTAAGGTACAGTAGTCCCCCTTATCTGCAGTTGTGCTTTCCATAGTTTCAGTACCCATAGTCAACTGCAGTTGGGAAGCAGATGATCCTCTCTCTGACATACTGTCAGAAAGTCAGTAGTAGCCTAACACTATGTCATGTCATTCACCTCATTTCATCTCATCACACAGGCATTTTATCATCTCCCATCACCACAAAACAAATGAGTACTGTGTGACAAAATATTTGAGATACTATATTCATGTAACTTTTATTACAGTATATAGTTATAACTGTCCTATTTTGTTATTAGTTACTGTTAAAATGTTACTGTGCCTAACTCATAAATTAAACTTTATCATAAATATGTATATACAGGGAAAAAACATAGCATATATTGTGTTTGGTACTATATACAGTCTTGGGCATCCACTGGGGGTCTTGGAATATATCCCCGTAAGTAGAAGGTTACTGTACTTAGAATAGTATTGAGCACACAAACAAGATTCAAAAAGTAAACATCACCATCATTAGTACCATCACTATTATTAGTACCATCACTATTATTACTGAGTGATTTTAGGAACATTCCTTTCACTAAAGCATAGCTGAGATCCAGGAGACTATGAGGGAACTGAGGAAAGGTGAGAAAAGCAACTCCAAGACGAATCCCTGTGGAAGGAAGACTATTTTAGAGACTCGAGTATTATTGTAACACTGAGGAGGGGAACGGGAAGACACTGATAAAACCAAATATACCCAAAAGGCAATAAGTGATAGCACAAGATCTCAAAGAATACAGGAGATGAGACAAAGAGCACAAGAAAAGTGCTTCCTTTAAAACAGGAACAGAGCTGAAAGGACAAAGGACATGTAAAGAAATGGACAAATGAGACCACAAAGGAAGACATTAGGGCTGTTCCTGTTATATGACATGTATTTTCTAAATGAACTAAAAGGAAATGTCATGTTTAATATAGAAGGAAGGGATGGATCCTGATGGAACGGAAAGCTTGAAGGAAATGGTAAATTTAGAATACTCACACAAAGGAGCAAAAGGGATGACTGGCACTTTCCAAAGCACTATCAACAGAGTTCAAATCACTCATAGAGAAATACTGCAATATTAGTGGTCTAGGTTGGGAGATATTACGAAGCAAAGTATAGTTTTAGTAAATGTCAGAAAGTAATACGGGAATGCAACCTGGCCTCTGTCTTTCCATTTATTTAAACATTTAAGTATGAACACTTAGAAAAGAAACAAGATCAATAATAAGACAGTAAGATAAAACAATCAAATAATTTATGTTCCAGTACTTGAAATCATAATACACATTAAGTGGTTTTAAATTAAGGCTCAAAATAATACATCAATAATGTCTATTTAACCCATGTAGACTTGAGAAATCCTTAGTTATTTGTTTAAACAATGAAACATACTGAGGACCGCAAACATCTATAGTTTCTTTGGCATTACACAAAACTTTTCCTAAAAGAATGCCTCCCCTTTACAATGAGTGTGCCCTATGAGCCAAGCATATAAGTAGACGGATCTACTATTAGATGGCACACTGAGTTAAAGTGTCTACAAAATGCCCTAACATTTCAATAAAGTGGATTAGTCTTCCTATAGAATTAAATAACAGCTGCAAAAATACAATTCCATCCTCACCAGTGCAATGAAAGAAAAAAGGTCACACATCCCATCAGCTTCTTTAATATTAGCTACGGTACTGAAAATCCTTTGTTCCTTCTTGATGGTATAATACATATTTTTAAATGCTAAGTATTCCAAAAATAGACATCCTCATACACTGAGACATACCCCAAAGTCTTCAAAACATAGTAAGTTTTCCCTTTGACATTAAACTTCATGCAAAAATCGGTTAGTTTTAGACAAATTTACTCTGTTAAATACCCTCTGTAATTGTGCATTTGCTTCTTTATTTAGAAAACATTAATTTGATTATACTTTCCCCTATTGTTAGATCCAAAAATAAATATATATATATATGTATATATATATATATATTAAGACATTAAAGATTCTAAAATGCCTGCTTGCCACAGTTCAAATGTGTAGGTGTCAAATAAAGGAACCTTTATAACATTGTTACTTTAGGAATATTATGACAGAAAAATACTTCCTAGGCTATCACCATAACTTTATCAATGAATCATGTATTGTAAACAATCTATAGGATTTCCACTATTTTGCATTATTATCAATAATACAAAACATTCCAAGACCAATAAAAATGGGCATAGAGGATCTCTGAAGGCTTACAAGGTAAATCCTTGTTCAAAGTGTGTTGAAACTAAAGTAACTGCCACTGCAAAAACAAAGCAAGATTATTTTACACTACTTTATATGTACCGGGCTATTATTCTCAACATCTGTTTAGTGACACCAGAATTTTTAGTTCCATATAAGCTCCATAACATTAAGACATAATTAAGTGACATACAACCTAATCTTTCAATATTTTAAAGGCATTTTAATTGGATTGTTCAATTATGTTAAATCTTCCCAGTTCATTTGAGGAAAAAAAAAAAAAAAAACCCTTTCTCATCCCCTCCCGTCCTTCTGCATTGTTTGAAGTAGGCTTTATAAAAGATTTTTCTTTCTGCATACATTCTCTTTCTTTTGTCCACTGTAAAAGGCCAGAACTTTCAAAAAGAAATCTACAGGTTTTAAAGAGCTATTATCAATGAAATCGACTCTCAACCTAATCACTCGAGTGATTCTAATATGAAGAAGACGGGACACTCTGGAGAACTTTGCACTACCCTCCCGCGGCCTCACTCTGGATGCACACGTTTAGTCCAAGTGTTTTTTGCTACGCTTCTGTAAAAAAGCTAAAGAATCTTAAAAGTGTGAGGTGAAGGGAATGAAAGAAAAAAACGCCAGAGACTGAAGTTCTTTTCCTGGAATACTATCTCAATAGGATGCCAGAGAAAAAGAGGAGAGGGAGAAAGAAAAGAGGATGGGATGGCACACTCCGGTGTCTTACGAAGATCCGTGCCACTGCCAATCCAGCTGGTCTGGATAAGCTTTGACATGCACAAAATCCAGGGGAAGGTCCATTCACTGCCAGTGGTATCAGCTTTGCACTCTTAGACCGAGCAACTTCCGATTACAAATGGCAGCGAAACACACAAACACACTGCAGAGGAAAGCCCACTCAGACTTCCCTGGAAGCGCTTATCCTCACGGACGAGACGCCCGTTTTCCGTTTCCCCTGGAGCTCCAGGTTTCAAAAGTCACGCTGCGGCGCGGAACGGACCCGGAGACAGGGTAATGGCCGGGGGGTGCACACTAAGGTGCACCCCGCAGCTCAGGGGTGGGGGGCAGCGGCGAGCAGCGAATGCCCGAGGGCCGGCGGGGCGCGGAGGCGCAGCGGCAGCGGCAGCGGCAGCTGCAGCCGGGTGCCCGCCGGCGGGCACGTGTCCCTGGGACAACCGGGCCGGGAGTCCGAAAGTCCCAGCTGGCGGCCCGGGAGAGACAGTGGGGGGGGGGGGGGGGGGGCCCGAGCAAGTTGTGCCGCGCCCGGGCGCTGCCGCGCGGGGTCCACGCCAGCAGCGACGGACGCCAAGGCAGCCTGGCACGGGGAGAAGGCGACCGGGCGCGGCAGGCAGCGGAGGGGCGTGCGCCCGCACGTGCGCGAGCTGCAGGTGCCCGGGGGCGGCGCGTGCACGCCGCTGTGCGCGCGCGAGTGCGCGTGTGTACACACGGACTCGCCGGGGAGGGGGAGGCGGCGGCACCGGCCGGGCGGGAGCGAGAAGGGAGCTCGGGCGAGGGCGCCGCGGCACACACAGCCCTGACCCCCGCCCCCACCCGGCCCCCACCCCGCACCCCCAGGACGCGACGGGCCGGTTACCTTTCTCCTCTCTCCACACCTTTTTCTTCTTGTTGCTGGGGTACATGTTGCCGTGGGGGTGGCTGGCTTTGAGCTGCAAGTTCCCCAGGCTCACGGGCAAACAGGGTGTGTGTGGAGTGGGAGGGGTGGGAGGGGGCACTCGGGAGGAAAAAGTGCAAGAGGCTCCGCGTCCCGCGCCGCTCGCCAGTCGCCGCCCTCTTCCCTCAGCCCGCGCTCGGCGTCGGCTCCCACCCGCCTCGGCCCCGCGGCCGCCACCACAGCAGCACCTCAGAGCCTGTCAACTAGGTCACGCCTCGCGCTAACCTAACCCCCGCGCAGGCCCCGCCTCCCAGCCGCTAGCCAGCGACGCCTCCCATTGGCTGCACCGCCCGCCGCTCTCCGCGTTCCAGGCCCCGCGCGCCCCGACTTCGGCCCCAGGGCGCACGCGCAGGCGCAGGCTCGGGCCAGACGCCGAGGACGCCGGGGAGCTGGAGGGGGCGGAGCCGAGGCGCGAGGAGGCTGGAGAGGGCCTGGCGTCGGGGGGGGCGGGGCCTGGAACGGACGCCTGGGAGGAGCGTGAGGCTGCGGGCGCGTCCCTCGGCTTCGCGGCGCCCGGAGGACCTGGGGGCGTGGCCTATCGGGCCGAGCGCGCTCGGTGACCGGCGAATCAGCGGGCGAAGGCGGCCTGTGGAGCCGAAGAGCGTTTAAAACCGGGAGGAGGACGGAGCCAACGCGCATTGTCCGCGTTTACGCCGACTGACCCGTCTGGGTGGCTTTTACCAGATACTCTGAAAACTTTCCGCTCGGCGAGCAAATAAAACCCGAAGAAGAGAAGGGCTAGGGAAATAGTTCCGGACCATACACAATCAGTTCCTCCCTCTCTTGGTAAAAATTACTTTTCGCCGGAGTGTTGTGAAGTTTGGAAAGAACGAACGAAGATCAACTGCACTGAACAAGGCTCGTAGGAACGGAGCAGCGGCCCACCAAAATGTCATATTGGAAACAAAAGTCCGACATCAAATCAGATTCAAGTGGGTGTCAACCAGTGTCAGCTCTTCCTATCCACCACCAATTGCTTCGAATTAAGGCACTGACTGGGTTAAAGAGCTGGCTTGATTCTGGCTAAAACTAATCTGTTGGTGTCCTGAAAGTCCAGTTCGGGTAGAGCCCACAAGAGTAGGGTGACCTAGAATTTAGAGGAAGTTTGGCAACTCCTTCCCCCAAATGTGTTGCATTTCTAAATATCAGACCATCTACAAGATTGATTTGGCGGATGTAGTGACTCCACATTTATTTGACAATTGGGGTGCCTTGTTATATGTGTAGTATTTAAGCCAAGTGTGTAAGAACTAATATTTGCAACAAAGTTTTTTTTTTTTATAATATAAGAAAACAGGAAGAAAGAGGTAGCTCCTATCAAGGTTTAAAAAAAAAAAAAGGAGAGAAATGTTTGGGTAACAGGACACTCATGCGGATGATTCATGACATAGTAAGGTAATGATTTTTATTTCAACATTGCCTCTGCCTCTGTTTTTCTTTTAATGTGAATTTGGCTGGGAGAAATAAGGAAGGCTTGAAGAAGGAAGTGACATTTGGGCTAGTAATAAAAATACGCACTTATTTTTTGGCAGTGGAAATAAAAGGAGGGCTCTGAAGACACAAAAGTACTATCAATAAAAATTGGTAATGAAATAGATTTGGGGAACAGAATGAGGAAGAGAAAAGGTAAGAGTTTTGTGAGATAGTGTAAGAGGAGAAAAGCACTATTATTAATAATATTAGGCAATGTAGAAGCAGTTGCAGATTTTGTGAGAAATATATTGAGTTCTTATTTAGAAATGCTGTATGTAAAGTGTCTGCAGGAAAGTGCATCAGACTGGACACTCTCCCCTTTGTTACAAGAGGGAGACTGTTTCCACCCCAGCCTGTAAGTCCACCTATGCTGTCTTGGGAACCTTATACAACGCTACTGGTTATTCTTTGTCCCATGTCAACTCAAGAAACTGGAACCATCCATCAACTTTTAAACTTTTTCAAGTCACTTCTATATTAAAAAATAAATAAATTCCTCTTGTGATTCCACAACACCCTCCAGCTACTGCTTATCCTTCCTTTTCAAAAGGTTATCAATACCCACTGGTGTCAATTTCCTTACATTCCCGCTTTCTGCTTTTCGGTTCATTTTCTTCTGGGTTCTGTCCTATTAAACAACTGAAATAGCTCTTATTAAGGTGACCAGTGACCTTCACCTGCTTTTTAACGGACATTTTGCTATTTCTCTTACAAGATCACTCAGCAGCATTTAACAGTCTTAATCTGTCATTTCTTCTTGCGGCATTCTTTACCTTCAATTTTTGTCACCCTTTGAGATTCCTCTTGTATGGCCATTCCTTCTCAGTTTCCTTTGCTGGCTCATCCTCCTTTTTAACCATTACATTTTGGAGTTCATTAAGGCTTAGTCTTAGCCCTTTGTCTCTTTTCACTGTATACTTTTTCTTTGAATATTTTCATCCATGTTCACGGTTCAGTTATAAGAGTAATTCTCAATCCAGGGGAAGTTCTACTCCACAGGGAATACTGGCAGCGTCTGGAGACATTTTCAGTTGTCCCAACTGGGAAAAGAATGCTAGCGGGCAGAGGTCAAGGATGCTGCTAAGCATCCTAAAATGCATGAGACTACTCCCTGCCACAAAGAATCATGTGGCCCAAAACGTCAACATGGCTGAGATTGGGAAACCCTGAGTTACACCAATGACTCCCAAATTTATTATCTTCAGCAAAAATTTCTTCTTGAACTTTATACCTATACATGCTACCATGTATTGAACCTTAACTTTAAGAGTCAGTGTTATGAACTGGTTGAAAGGCATCTGAAACCAGACCATCTGGATTCAAATCCTGGGTTCACCCTATTGACTGTGTGACTCTTGGCAAGTTACTCAGTCTCTCCCTCTTGCTTTTTTAAATTATTTATGTGGAGATGAAAAAAAAAATGGTATTGAGATCCCTGGGTGGCTCAGTGCAAGTTGAGCGTCTGCCTTTGGCCTAGGGCATGATCCTGGTGTACTGGGATCAAGTCCCACATTGGGCTCCCCACAGGGAGCCTGCTTCTCTCTATATGTGTATGTCTCTGCCTCTTTCTGTGTCTCTCATGAATAAATAAATAAATAAATTTTAAAAAAAGAAAATATAGCATCTACCTTGATTAGTATGAGGATGAAGTGAGTTAAAACACTGGAAGTGACTAGCACCTAGAAAATGAGGCAGAGACGTTTACTGATACAATTTTCTCTCTCTTGACCCATAGGAAGATATTTCCCAGCCTCCCTTGAAGTTAGAACACGTAACTAACTGAGTAAGTTATAAGGCAAGAGTGATGTATGCCACTTCTAGGCCTAACCATCAAATCCTTTGTACACTCATCCATATTCTCTCTTTTCTTTTCATGGTGATCTCTGAAGCAGCATCTTGAGAAGGAAGGAGCTTGGATCCCTGAGTCACTGCTTAAAGGAGTTATCTCAGGGATCCAAGGAATACCACATTAGGCTATGACATAAACAAGAAACTTTCATTATGTTAAGGGATTGATATTTAGAGATTATTTGTTTCAGCATTAAGTATAATTATTCTGACAAAATAACATTATACAAAAGTATTAAATATTAATATTTAATGTCTCAAAAGTACCTAAAATGTACCATGTACCACACTGAACTCATGATCTTTCCTCCTCCACACTTAGATTTCTTCCAGCATCCCCTATCTCTTTGAATGGCTTCAGCTGACAATGTGATTATATCTGGAGATAGGGTCTTAGGAGGTATTCAAGAAAGATGAAAAATAGTTGTAATTCAGTTTTCAGAGAAACCGGTAATATATTCTCAAGAGGATATTGTCAGAAATGTCACATATCTCACAGAGATCAAGTAGGATGAGAACTGAGAAAAGACTATTAGATTTATAGTCTATGTAAATCAGTGAAAATAAAAACAGTTAAAGAAGTGAGAGCAACAAGAAGCAGCAATTGTATACTATTTTTTTCAGATGTTAGAGGCTAGAGAATAATTAGAGGAGATGTAGTTGAAAGGATACCAGAACCAAAAGAAAATTTTTCCAAGAGAAATGAAATGAAAGGTGTTTAATTAAGAAGATTGTTGCCAAAAGATTGAAACAAAAAAAGAGAGAGAGAGAGGAAAGGACAAATGTTAGAAAGAAATACCAGGAAAAGATGAAGTAAATGCAGATAGAATCAAAAGTGAGAGAAGTCTGGAACTTAGAATATAGAATATAGAAATTTTATCTTTTTGTCATGAATTAGAAAAGAGAAAAGAGATTCAAAAAAAATGTTAAATAAAAAGGAAGTAGAGGGCAGATAGGTCCAATGAGCTCAATTTCAGTAAAAGTAGGAGGCAAAATCATCTGCTTAAAGATGCTTATGAATCTGGATCCAAATGGGGAATGAAAAAAAAAAGATTATTTGGAGAATGTTTACCAAATGATATTTAAGAGTTTAATTAAATTGTATTTAGGTACTTTTTAAAAGTACAGGAGTTAGGAAAATCCCATTTTGAACTCCTCTGGTAAAAGGAAAAGATACTAGGGATTATTCTGAATGATAGTCCCAAAGATTCCAGGACCTAATCTCTGGAACTTATGAATGTTACCTCATTTAGTAGAATGGACTTTGCAGATGTGATTGAGGATCTTGAGATGGGAAAAATGATCCTGTATTATTATGGTTGACCCTAAGTGTAATCATAGTGTCCTTATAAAAGGAAGATAGAGACATATTGAAGCACTGGGAAACTAATTTGTAAAAGGAGTAAACCTGGAAATTCAAGGCAATAAATATGTCTCTTTCTAAAGTAATTACCCGTGCACACTCTAAAAGTTTAGCATATTTTAGGTATAATTTCCTCAGCTAGCTCTATTCCTTGCATACCACTTTTACCTAGATATTCATCATCATTTCTGGTCCTAGCCTTGAGGGTACCCACCTGTGAAATACCCATATTGTTAAAGATACTGAAGAGGGCGTTTTTAAATACCTTTTAATGAAAGTGTAATGAAATGCCTTTTTCTAAAAGTCATTGACCAAAAAAAAAAAAAAAAAAAGTCATTGATCACTGGGATTCATTTGCCTTTGTTCCAATAAAACCTCAACAGTACCTTTCTCAAATGGAAGATAAATATTTTCATCCAGATAGGGATGAAAGCAGACTTAGTCAACATGGTTCTTGTCCACCACAGCATTCAGATATTAGAGTAAAGGATGATGTCATGTCA